AAGTAATTTTAGCACCTCGATTGAATATTTTAAAGTAGAGAGTGTTTTATACATATTATATAAAAATAAACCAGGCTTAAAATAAAATAAAGCTAATCTATCTATAATTTTTTAAGACAAAGTCCAATTCGGATTTTCAATTCAGATAAGAATATCTGAAGATGACTGGCGGGTGTTTGACGGGTTGTTATAACAAGTGGACTTTCAATATAAGAAGTAGGGAGGTACATAATCGCTCATAATAATCACGATTTTAATTTCAGATCCCCTTCAAATTCAGTGGTTGCGTGAAATTAACTACAAGTCCGCTGAGATCTATAAATAGAAAATAAGGGAAAACTAGATCGATTCAATTCTACGATTGTCTTTGATAAAGCTGTTTAGATATGTTTGTTTCTTAGGTTTTCTCGCACATCACTTTTTAAATAAAACAAGTTTCAACGGGTTAAATGCACTGATTTTATTTATTTATTGACGTTTCGCAGCGTGCAGCATCCAACGCATTCCTGCAAAAAATTAAAGCATTTAAGCTGTTTAGAATATTTTTTTTGTATAGTTTTATTACTTTTGGTATTCTCGTGTTACAGAACTAAATGATAAAATTACTCCGAGTAGTTTACTGTAAGGCCTTCTTCAAGGGCGGATCCAGCTTTGGCGCCAGGGGGGGTCATATAGTCGTGGTATATTAAATATTGAAAGTACTTAAATAAAATCCCCCTGGGTTTGGTCCATCTGTACCCAGCCCAGGGGGGGGGTCATGACCCCCATGACCCCCATGACCCCCACGACCCCCCCCCCCTGGATCCGCCCTTGGCCTCCTTGAATGGAAGTTTTTGGAACCATAGTTGAGACGGGAAGATAGTCATGATGACTGTCGCAGGTTCGCAGAATATTATTGGTTAAGTAAAAAATTGTCTCGAAAACTGGAACCATGATCTAAACGGTGCTACAGTTCCTGTCTATCTCCCATTTAAGTACACGGGTGCATAACAAGTACATAACACCTAAATAGTTTAAAAACAACCAAGATACGGGAACGAAAATATGTAGATGCTCTCCACACTAAAAAAAACACATAAAAACAAAAATCTAGGTAGCAAGAAAACTTTTGCTTTGTATTCCGCACAACCTGCCTACCTTCTTTGATTTCCAGCTCATTGGGTTGTCTGGAAGAAATCGCTCATTAGCGATAAAACCGCCCTTTGTGAAATAGTGTATATTCTACTATGTTTTGTGTTCTGGTTAGTGACGAAGAACTTCGATAACTAAGACTATGCTAAAAAGCATTAGTCTTTTAAGTAGCTATATCATCGTTGAACTCAACATTGAGAGAGTAGCACAGTTTATCCATAGAGAAAGAAAATTAAGTGAAATTAACACTGTAGTGTTTCAAGGATGTCTTAGCGTTGTAATCGAGGATGTTCTCATAGAGAGCAGCGATGCAAGGAGTAGAATCGTTGCCCTTGCACTAACCAGTCATCAACACTGATTAGATTGTATGTTGAATTAATGAAACGTGCGCGATCTTTCCTCGGTTGCACACTCCAAGCAAGACACATTAGAATGCACCAAGATACATTAAAATGCGTTGCTTCCGCATTATAATGAACCGACAACTTACGTAGGATAGGGAATCTGATAAGTTACGCTATATCTATTTAAGCAGCAAAGAAACATTGTTCGTTAGCAATATGATTAAGGCACATAAGTTTATTAAAATTATCTTTCTTTTTCTACTTCACATCATGCCTAGCAATATTCTCCAAGGATTCAGTTCAAAAAAAGCTTTATATATTTATTATTATTTATTTAATAACGGCACGAGTGAAAATATTCCTTATTCTAATTAAATCAAAATTTAATCTTCTGTTATAAGTAGGTACATATTTTACTCTCGCAATGTTAAATATAATAAAAACACATTCTGCTAAATTGATCGAACCGTTCCCAAGGGACGTTCCGTCGTAATTAAGGAGCAATTGATTTTTATATTTAAGAGAGATGTTGAAATCAGGTTACAGTGATCTCTAACAAGGAGCAGACAATCCGTTATGTAGACTCTTGAACAGCTTGTCTGCTTTTAAATTTATTAAGTCTTTTTCACTACCTACCTTTCGGTGGTGTTGTGTTTCTGTCAGTGAGGTTCCAGGGTTCCCTTGTCACCCATTTAACATAAAAAGTACCTTACAGAATGGCAGAGTATGAATTGACTTGCGTTATGTAAGGTAAGTGATACAAATAAGGCCTACCTAATTTCAAAAACTCATATCATCATAAATTATTCGAAGAAGGTGACAAATAAAAGTGACTAAACAAAGCATATTGACGACCTTCGTGACCGAGTGGATTGTACGCCGGGTTTCATGGTGTCGCCGACTCGAGAGGTCCCGGGTTCGAATCCCAGTGGGGGCAGATATTTGTGTGATGAAAATGAGCATTTGTACTCCAGTCATGGATGTTTAATATGTATTTCTATATAAAAAATATACTTATATATGTACTGTATATGTATTCTATCCGTTACCCTAGCATCCCATAACACAAGCCTTACAGTGCTTGCTTTGGGGCTAGGCTAATTAGTGTGAGTGTTGGAAATATTTATTTATTTTATTTATATGTACTTAAATTAGAATAAAATAGAAATATTTTTGTTAGAGTATAAATTATATTAAAATATGTATTTCTGAGCCTTTAATCAGTATTTCCATGGGATTCTTGAACAAACAACATTCTAATTTATTTTACTAAATATTTTGCTTAAATTGTTAGTCAGATTAGAAGTCGCATTTAATATGCGACTTTAAATCTGACTAGCAAGAGATAAAGAATAATAAAAAAAACATATCCATACAAACAAAAATTATCAAATTAACATAACTTCCCGTAAATATTATTAAATATTAGAAAATGAATATATTTTGATAGATGTATTTGATAAAAATGAGGTCTTTTATAAAAGTAGGCTTTATTTTATACTTCATAAAAGTTATAAGTAGTATTTAATTCGCATATTCTAAAAAGTTAAATTTTAAGTCATAGTCAACTTTTTGATTACTTATATTGTGATCCCTATACATTACATGAAACAAAACTTCAAAGAATAACGTATTAAAATTTGTTAAAGATTACAACAAATTAATAACGCGCTATAAAAAGCTAGTCCTTCACAAAGTACCGCCACTACTGACGCTATGAGCTCGAGCGGACCGCTCGTGCACATTTTGCCGAATTGTAGAACTGTCATCTATGCGTGTGTAAAGTATTTTTGATGTCAACATATTTTAATAGACTTTTCTGCACTACAGGCCTTATTTGTATCAGGTACCTTATAAATATCAGTTAATTCCTTATCTGGACTTAGCTCTATATATTAAGTACCTACATCTGATATAAACCAAAGTTCAGATAACTGTAACAGTAATTTTATTCCGTTCATTGCTGAAGCTAAAGGCATTGAGTCAAAACATTGAGTTCAAAGTACGAATACAGAGCTAAAAATATAAAATAACTTCTTTTAAATACATGGCAAAATTACTATCTTTTACCGAGTCCAGTTGCAAAGATAGGTGATGTGGCAGAAAGCTCCAGCCATTGCCTATGGTTTTAAGGGCTAGAGGGTAGATAGTTTTGGTATCGCATGCGTCTATAAGTTATGGTGGCCGCTTACCATTAGGCGGGCAATATGCTCATTTGCCACACTTTTAACATAAAAAATGTCTGCTTTGTGAAGCTCTTAAATCTTTCTAACCACCAACAACACAACGTCATCTTTTGGTAGTTAGTATTTCGTATTCAACAGGGAAGCACAGTGTCGGTAGACCCCTCACTAGTGGACTGAAGACATCAAGCGAGTCGGGGGGACTCACTGGATGCGGAGAGCGCAGGATCGTTCCATATAGAAATCACTTGAGGAGGCCTATGTCCAGCAGTGGACGTCCATCGGCTGATGATGATGATTATGATGATTTCGTATTTCGTAAGTTGCTAGTTATTACTCCAGATCAGTGCTCCATTAACTTTACCTCTTTACGGCATTTGTTTTGTTTTAAATTGACTGTTATCGAATCTGTAATCCCTTTATATTGAACCTCGTTATCTTGATAGTGGACGAATGTAATGATCGGTAGTTTGACTGAAGTTCTACTTTCTGTTTGTTTCGGTTTAGTAGATAAAGTTATACTTTTTAGTGGCGCATCGAAAACAAAGTGATTCATGAAATTTTTCTTTTAAATATTAAGTATTTTTTGCATTATCGTATTTTTATCAATTTCCAATGGATTATACGATTTATTTTTCCAAAAACAAATGTTTTGTATACTTTGTTCCAAATTTTTTACCTACCGCCAGTTCAGGTCTTTTTAAGGTGAGAAGAACCTATTTGACAATATTTGCCGTTGAGTGCACTTAAAAAACTTAAGTCGTTTAAATTACACACTTTAAGGATTAGCATTAGCTAATGATTGTGAAAGAAACAGCTATGTTGTTTTTGTTTCATTACCTAAGTAGCTAGTTAGTTTATTTTTCCTTTTTTGTCAACATTGGTGTATCTAGGCTTAGTCCGATGAAGGTTAGAATTTTGCTTTGGTAACCCAAAATCATAAACTCAAAATTCGGACAGCTTTACTTTAAATAATTAATGCTTTTCAATAATAAATTTTACAAAAAATATAGACGTCTCATCACGTTCAAGAGCGAAAACGTGTCTATACAAAAGGTACCTAAAATTTTTAATTAAATTTTCAAAATTTAAGGTGCTGGTATTCATATATATACAACCAATTCCTAATGTTCTTGTACAAAGAACCAATCTGTTTAATATTGATGTTAAAAAGAAAAATATAATTAAAAGTAATATCAAAACCTCTGTGATAGACATTATTATATAGCTCGCTTGAAGTACGTAGGTACTGATGAGTACCTATATGTCAACAAGGTAAATTGCATCGCGAATAAGTACCAAGGTTTAGTTCTGTTAATAGTAATAAAACCGCTGGTTGCAACGCGCATCTCGTATCATATATCGTTGGTTAACACGAATGGAATTGCAACATCGAATAAATTTCATTTCGACACTTCTAATCGGCGAACAAAGATAACACAACGAAGTGACATTTTTTTTTGTTAAAGAATAATTACGAAAGAAGTCTAAAGTCAAATTTCGAACGCGTTATGAAAAGAGGATAGATCTCTATCTTTAGATTTATTATTATACTTACCTAAGCACAAAATAACAGGCAAAATTTCATTAAACTAATTGCCGTCATTATAATACTTTGTTTGTTGTAGTAGGTTATTATGAACCTGAACTGATAAAAGTTTATTTGGGACGTTTATCTTCATAGTGAGTTGAATGTTTGCGCGTGATAGATGTATTTTCATGCTTCGTTTGTAAGTTATTAATTATTGAACGTGAAACGAAATGTTGAAAGTTTTCGGTGGTCGTGTAGTGAAAAAGTTTTGCGGAAGGAGGTTATACACCGTCGTAGGACATGATAAGTTACCGGCAATTGGAGTTAATGTGCAAGAGGTAAGTCTAAAGTTCATGATGAATAATAAAATACAATGAATGGCCTCTTCATAAACAAATGCTTTATCCTTAATAGAATGTAAGGAATGAACAGTGACAGGAAAAAAGTTCAGTAAACTATATCTCTATCAATTTTATTTTTGCGACTGGTAGAGACTGCCTGTTATAAGTGCTTTTTACCAAGATAACGTAGAATAATCAGATTCAACTTAGGTCAGGAAAGTTTACACAATCTAATCGAATATTGAATTTGCTAGAGTTAAAAATAATCTGTTTTGGATTGTTTTCTTTCAGAGATTTTTTTAGGAATAGTTAATGTTTTTGAAATTCTGTTGTTAAACATTTTTAGCTTGGGCCTAAAATCTAATTTTACTTTTAATTTAATCACTTGTCACAAAAAGGTCCAAGTAGAGCCTTGAGGTATCCAAAATTTAATGGGACAAAACGTATTTATTATTCTTATAGCCAAATTGTTTGATCGTTTTAAGATCCGATGTTTAGTTTAAATACGCTTACTGGGTCAGTAAGTGTATTCATTAATTGGGTATGAGTGTGAAGTGATTTATGCTAAGTCCAGTCTTTGGTTGGATGACCAAAAATCACTGTCTTGAGTTCGCTTCTATTGCCAAGTACACATATGATTTTATGGAAATCTTATCCCATACTGTACTTCATTCCTACCACCATGAGTACGAGTATATGTATTTGTTTTATTTCTGCACTTTTAATCTCAAGCACTTGTAAGATTCATTATCGGGTATATTTCAATGTTACTTAAGAAGTAAGACAGCAAAATTATGATTGTTGGTTAGCAACATGAACATTTAAATAAAGAGTTAAAATTATATGGTTTAAGAGTTGATTATGAGAGATAAGTTGTGAATTAGGTACATATTATGTCTGACAAATGTACATATCTCTGTTTACAATTAGATATAACGACGGTAGCGCAATCACGCAGACTCAAGACAAAAAAAATCTTTGTTTTCCAAGGATAATTGATTATCAAATACAATTCTTGGGAATTACTCTAAGTGGCTGACCAGATTCTAATTAATCGAAGATTTGGATTGTTTCAAATCATCATCAGCCTATTAATGTCCCCACTGCTGGGGCACAGGCCTTCCCTATGGATGGAATAGGAAAATTGGGCCATGACCCACCAAGGGCCCAGTGCGGAATGGCGGGTGCTAACGACTGCAGATGCAGCCGGGATCAACTGCTTCACGTACCTTCCGAAGCACGGAGGAACTCGAGATAAAAGTTTTTGGTCACCCATCCAATGACGGACCACTGCGAAAGTTGCTTAACTTCAACGATCGCAGCCGAACGCGCTATCCACGTGCGCCATCAAGCTCCTTTAAATTGTTTCAAATATTTCTTAGTATTACCCGCCCCTGAAAAAAGGGAATTCAATAGTCTCGTTGTATAAATGTTAAAAAAAAAGAATTTAATCTATATTCTTTGCATAAATGCAGAAAAAAGAGCTTTATTTGCAGCGCATATGTATTATTGATTCTTTATTGTGAAAAGCTTATTATATTATGGGGAAATACTTAAATAGTCTTATAAAAAACAATAAAAAAAACAAATGGTATCCTAAAAGTTAGGTAACAATAACTGAGGTAACCTTCACCTTATAGAAGGAAATACAGTGTAATAATAAGTACTGCTTGTTGGTGGTGTTGTGTTCCTTTCGATATCGAATTCTCCAGATTCAGGATTCACATCGCGGTAATGTTATACTCTGATCCTTGTGCAATAATAAATAGACTAATTATACTTAATTATTATTAAGTCACCTATTGGTGACCTTCCAATCGAGGAAAGAAGAGCGAGGGGAGGTGCTCGATGGCGTAAGTGGTTGGCGGCTGCTATCGTTGAAGTTAACCAACTTTCGCAATGGTCGGTCATTGGATGGGTGACCAAAATTTTACTATCTCGATTCTGGATTTTTTATGGAATAGGGAGATAGGAACATAACTCGCCATGCGGGCCCAGTAGGCTTGGTGGGTGGTAATTAAATATTGTTACCTTCATTCCAACTGAGTGTTCCAAGACACTGAGCAATTTTTTCAAACGTATAGGGTGACAGGAAAACTTGACCTATTCCTTGAAAGGGATTATACTCGAGGGCATTAGCAACAAATTAAGTCCAGTGAACTAGGTGTCAAAACTGGCTGTGTTACCGAGTTGTGACGGTTCTTCGATTTTTTAGAATTTTTCTGACTTGCTGCCAAATTTCATTAATTGTGCATAAACTACTCCACTCTGAACATTGAATTAATACTTTTCTGAAAGCTCAAGAATTATTGATCATTTCAAAAAAAGTTTGCCCAAAATTTACACAATCTCAGGAATAAAAGGACTTTAGTATCAATAATTTAAATTTTTTGTATGTGTCCCGAACTTCGCCGTAAATTATATTATTGGTAAATATCGAATTTGGCATACAATAAATAACCAGTTTCATAAGCTTTCCAAAAAGGTACAAATGTTATTAACTTTCCTAGCTGTTCTTATTAAAATCAGCAAAAGGGCGCTGCAGGGCGTATTTTGATTCGTAAATTGAATTCAAATGGAAAAGTCAATATTTCTCTAACTAAACTGTGAATGAAATTCAATGTTGATTGATAAAGTTTAATTTGGTTATAATTTTTATTTTTTAAGCATGTCTGGTGCCTGGTCCGCGTGGAATTTTTTCTAGTTATATTTTCTTTAGATTTAAACATCAAGCAGTAACGTGCTTAAAAAATAAAAATTATAACTATAATTGCTATTTCTTCTTTCAAATGTTTAATACTTGTAAAAGTATTCATTCGACATTGTGGGTTGCCTACAATGCGAAGAAATGGCGCTGCCTTGCAGCTTAAGAATGGCTAGAAGAATTTCGACGCGGCCATAATTAGCATAATTGGTCAGTGCATTCACCCGGATAGCGAACGGTGCGGGTTTGAGTCCCGTCTGCTGCCTGGGCCGCGTGGATTTTTTTCTAGTTTTATATTCTTTAACGTTAATGTGGTTTAAAAGAAACTGTACCTTAAAAAAAATACAAATCCATTTAAAGCTGCCTACCATTTTTTCTTATGCAAGCACAGAGCTTACGATATAATATGCTTACTGCCACTCGCGTTCCTTTAGTTTAACCCCTATCAAGGAATAGGTCGAGTTTTTCTGTCATCTGTATAAAATAAGTAAAATTGCCCAATATTATGCAATAGCACCGAACACGGAATTTATTTTTATAAGCAATTCCTTGAATTTTTTATACTAACTGGTAAAAATATTCTAAATCAATGATTTACAATTAAACTGTGAACACGCTTACCATTACTGGCCATGAATATTCGAATTTGAAATTCTCTATTTCTTCTTTTCTGTTCATGCCCTTTTCTTTTAATAACGAATGGTTTCTGTCAAGCCAATTTATTGTAGTTGCTCGCCTGGTTTCCCTGCGGATGCAACATGTAATAACTTTACATCTCCAAAAGCCGGTCCTATCCTACGTCACTACATCTCATGGGAATTTGAAAGTGGCATGTCTAATATATATGAGAAGATAATGGCTTCCAATTAAAACAAAACGCTGTTTATAAAGGACTTATTGCTAAACAAACCAAATGGCATTGTATGTGTAGACGAAACTTCGATGGAATAAAACGTGGCAACGACAGAGCATTTCGCGAAGCAGGGAAACCTGATATAATAAGTAGTGTATTGACTATGAAAGTCAGCATTAGAAGGACAGCACTAAGTGTAAAAATAATTTATTTTCTTTCACACTACATTTGAAACTTAATTTTCGCTACCTTGTAGTACAGGAGCCCAAGCGGGGATTTTTCGATTTACTCGATCGCGGCAGATTAACATAAGGGAGGCAACCTTACATCTTGTGAACTATTCCTACCAAACCCGAGCTCTGTTTATAGTGTCGAATGGGCAGCCGATAAAATTAGTAAAAAAAAACAGTTAATAAGGCAAGTTATAAGTATATATTGTTATTAATTTTACACACAGAATTAGTATTAGTAGTACTATATTTAAATGTATACTAAGGGGTTTGATGGCGCTGTAGCTAATGCATTCGGTCTACGATCGTGGATGTTAAACAACTTCCACAAAGGCCTGTCATGGGACAGAGGTAAGAAAGGTAGGGCATAGTGGATTTCCCGTTCGAATTGGAGCGCCCGTCTGGGGAAGTAACCTCCACCTTACAGAGGATCACAGTAAAATAACACTACCTTTTGGTGATGTTGTGTTTCTGTCGGTGAGTAAGGTTCCAGGGCTCCACGGGATAGGGGATTGGATCAAGGTAGGCAACGTTGCAAGTGATATTTTTGGTATCCCAAGCGGCTGTAGGCTATGGTGGCAGCTTACTACCAGGGGGGCCATACGCTTGTTTACCATCCTTATAACATAAACAGGGACAAGTCTATGATGTTTTAAGGTTATAGATACGTCTTCTTCTTCTTCTTCTTGCTACGGGCGTTTCCGCAACTCGACGTCCTTATTAGTCTCACGCAAAATAGGCGCCCTATTTTGCGTGAGGAGGGTGTATGACCGAAATCACTCCAGCCAGCCTAGCTCCGCCAGGAACACCCCCAGGGCCTTCACATTGGTGACTGGCTCTTGAAGGTTTCCCGGTGAGCCGAGGTATTTCGCCCGGTTATAGATACGTCATATACGCTTCTAATTTGGCAATACGAAAGTCAGGTAATTGCCCGACTTGCATTCAGACGGGCACGCTCTCAGGCCGCGGCTCCACTTTGCTACAACGTGTTAATATTTTACGTGTTTCCAGGCAAAATGCCCTGTGTGTGTCTTTATATACAAAATACACGGGAACTGTTGGCGCCAAGAAAAACGTGTCATTTCATTCGTTAGCACAGTTTTAAAGAAATTAATGTAAAAAATAGTAAAATATTTTGTGATTACTTATTTTGACAGTAGCTGACACCGTTGACACATAGAAGCTAAAGAGCGCGATGTAATCTGCTTTA